GGAAGACACTACATTTTAACACTGGCAACGTGGCAGCTTAAAAAGAGACTGTAAGAAGAAGTGCTACGGTGCTATATATGTGTATATGTGTATATATGTATATATGTACACTACTAAGACTATAGGTTGTATTAACCCCACTACATAGTACGTTCACTATTATGCTAACAGTGTTACTTGTAAGACTATGTCATCATATATCATTATGACTCAAGAAAAAAAAGTTGCAGCACTATTACATAGTAGAGCATGCCTCCCCTCTGGTTTGAATGTTTAAGCTACACAAAGAATAATAGCATGCATCAGATGTAATGGTACAGCGGGAGAAAAGGTAGTAGTAGCCATTGCATACATTCTGGATTTAATTTTCCCCGTTAATTTGACAATAGGAAATGTGAAAAAATATTATTACGGTGTACATCTAGAAAAATCTTAGGTACTGTAGGAGCACATTGAGCCAAGTATAGGTTCAAGTGCATTTATGTTGTAGAGGCATTGTACATTTAGTATAAATAAAGATATATTGTGCATGTACATACATATTTTGCTCATGAATTTTGTACATCTGGATACCTTGGAAGCAATAAATAAAACACTATCATGTTACTCTTTTAAGCTCAAAGGAACGCCAGTTTTACTACAGTATCATTACTACTGCTTTTAATATTGTTATAACTGCTTCTGCTGCTTTACACTACCAGAGCTACTTCTGCTACTGCAAACACCTCGACCACAACATAACTGTGACAATGGCTTGCACTGCTCCAACCAATAGTACTCCTCCAACTGCGGATTCTACTACTATGTACACCTACGCAAACCAATCCAACACACCTGAGCCCAGAGCAGTCAGGGTCAGGCTGGCTGATTAGACTGAGGGCGGTGTGAAGGGACCAGCTGGTGCTTGAGAAAAAGGCCTGAAGGAATTATTGACCCATCTCAACTCTCACCCCCTCACTCGCACACACACACACCCTGGGCTGTGACCTGTGAAATTACTGCTCCGCAACTGAGATTTGTTTCTGAGGAGCTCTATCAGCTTCTCAATGTGCCGTGAAGACAGGTGAGAGGAGAGACACAAAGAGACGCATGTAAAATTACATGCACACATCACAAAAACAACCCACATAAACATGTTTCTTATATTCACAGAGAACAGCAAAGTAAAGACCACCTTATGATGTTTAAGTGAGTTTCTTGTCAAGCCAACCTTCTGCTATTTAGCTGCTTTATTGTCAACTCCTGTTATTGTCCTCAGTCACTTATTATTTCAAGGATTTGGCAGTAATTCTTGAATTTATTCTGGTATTTTAAATCAGAATAGTATGTGTGCCACTGAAAAGAAAGTGCCGTAATTACAAGTCTGCCTGTCAGAATAAAAAAAAAAGACATTTGATTTAGTTTGTTGCTGTTATACTTCTGCAAACTGCCTCATCCTGCTAACCAAAGGTCACGGCTAACATCAAACCCTATTTAGACAATGAGAGAGACAGAGACAGAAAAAATGACAGAGTAAGTATGAATAAGAAATGCACTGGGGTTTCTTTCTTAATATGCAAGCTGCTGAATATTCATGTAGCTAAAAAACACATCCAATTAACTTTATGAATTATTAATATTTATGATAAAAGCCTATGCATATGCATTTGCTCTTTTATTGTTGGTCTAAGTGCCACTGAGCACCGGTGTGTGATGGACTGAAGATCTTTGTGTGTGTGTGACAGAGGGAGGGAGGAAGAGAGGGAGGGAGCGAGATGGGGAGGGGAGCAGAAATTTATTTTTCTGCCTGCATGTTTACAATGTTTCTTTGTAGCAGCTGTCTCCCTTTTCCTTTTGCTTGTCTGTAGATCTCTAACACACATCTGCATAACAAGGCGTTAGAGCAGTGTCGCTGATGAACATCAGCAGGAAGGGAAAGAGACAATTTTGAAAACTCAATTTATGCTGGATGCACGTTTGTTTTGAAAAGGTATCCACACTTAGAGGATAACTATAACAATAACAAAAGTGGTTCTAACTCAAGTGGATGGTGGAGTCAACACCACGACTGTAATGACAACGACGGTGGCGAACAATATTGCTGGGATTACTTTGATTTGATGATCGATATTGTGGTATACAATTTATTAAACTCTAATACATGGCTGCAAATCACAGATAAAAAAAACATAATTTTACCTGAGACATACTGCAAAACAATCCTGAGTGCTGATGGGGTCTTTGAAGTCCTTAGTAATGGTCTCTTTTGTAGGAGTGAATAAAATTCGCCTTCAAAAGATGAAAAGTCTTACAATAGTGTAAGTGTAGTGTGAAGTGTATAAGTAGTGTTGGATTCTCCTAATTACTCTCAACTTTAAAGAACTTTGTAAACCCATATCTTTCCGGTTTTCATTTTGTTTCTCTGCGCATTGCATGGTCATCAATATACAGTTTCCTATGCTGCCTACACAGCTGGAGCATGCAGCGTGTTGGGGCTTCTGTTCCTTAGTGTGGATGCTCACATTGTTATTGTTATAATTATTATTCTTGGTCGGGCCTTAAAGCTCCTGAACAAAAGTAAAAAGATTTTTTTTTTTGCCACTTTCTGTAACCGCCTACACTTGTTTTAATATAGTCGAACTTGCAATTTAGCTTTTATCAATGACATAGTTTTTCTGCCATCTCAATGAGTACAAAATAGGGACTTGATCATCATTAATTCTACCTGTTAATCAGGCTCTGCTGTACTGCAATATCTAAACTACGGAGCAACTTATGCCTGTGACTTTAGTGTGGTGGAAAAAGATGTGTTTTTATATCGATATGTTATTCTGAGTTTGACTGAGGGAGACAAAGAGAGGGAAAGTACTATAATATTCACTTTTCACTGGAATTATACATTTGTATCATCAATATAGTGATAACTTCCATTCAGCCAAACAATACACTTTGTAACGTTGTATTAAATTCCTTTTAAGTATTTACTACATACACTTATGAGTCTGGACAGACAGGGATATTAATTGCAACTTGACTGGTTGATGGAAGCATACAACATTCTTGTTTGCCTGATCGTTGGATTTTTCCGGGGTTCCGGAAAAGAACCTTTTTGGGCACTAAGTTCTTCTAGTAACCCTTCTAGTTGCTCGAGGGCTCACTCACATAAAAAATGGCTCCCACAGAAGCTGTGAGCTGAAGAAAAATTTAAAATTACTGGAACCCACAGTGGGGGTCAGAGACTTTCTGCAGCAGCATATAGGTTGTCGAGGTTTCTTCCAGGAACCTCATCTTATGGAAAGGTTACTTGAAGAGCCTTAAATATACTTTTAAGTTCCTTGAGTACCCTACTAGATATTTGAGGCACTTTTGGTTTTATCAGTTTGTCAGAGACAGAGGAGGAGACTGGGATTGACTGAGGGAGCTGGAGAGCAAGAGAAAAAGGGAGAGGAATGGGGAGCGATTGAATGAGATTAGATGGACACTGACTGAGAGAGACAGCAGGAGCAAGAGATAGGGATATGAGATGAGAGAGAGAGAGAGAGCGAGAGAGAGAGAGTGATTGAGAGAGTGAGGCCCAGCGATAACAAATCAGCCATCTTGTTGAACCAGGCCTGTGTCTATGAACACACACATTCACTCTAATTGTCTAACACAATCATGTGAAGTAAACAAGTGGCCGCTTGAGAGGCGGACAGTCGCCACTCACATGCACACCACCATGCGTCATCAATGTGTTACCATGGTAATGGAGCTTTTATCTGATCCAGGGTCAACTCCTATTTACATCACCCACAGCTCTGCTGTCTCACACAGGTATGTGACAGAGGAAAGAGGAGTGCGTCATCCAACTACACACACAGAATAAAGTAAAGCACATAAATAAATAAAGTTTTTGTTCGACAACTCACATCTTGTGACGACGCCCTCCAGCCTGATGATGTTCGGATGGTCGAACTGTCCCATGATGGAGGCCTCAGACAGGAAGTCCCTCCTCTGTTTGTCAGAGTACCCCGCCTTCAGACTCTTGATGGCCACGTAGATCTCCCTCTTTCCCTGAACACGCAGCCGACCACTGCACACCTCCCCAAACTCTCCTACACACACACACACACGCACACACAGACACACACACAAAACAATATAAAATTGGCTGGCAGCTTGTACAACTGATTAATATCTGAGCTCTCTTATCTGTATTTTTGTAGTAAGTTATATAATATCTAATCTTGACTCCAGATTTTCTTTTATATAACCAAAATTATTTGATTTTACAGGTGCTACAGTGCCAGAAACAAGGAAAATTGTCCATGCATGCAAACATGACTCAGTGGGCCCCATAAAAAACATTTAATTAATTTGAATTCAATCAAGTATGATTTACATTTTTCTTGAGATATTAATATAGTCTACTGCTGTTTTATTGCCAACTTACCAGCTCCAATGACTCTCTCAATGCGAATATTAGAAGCATCTATCTCTTTCGCGAAGTCCCTGACAGCCTGGTTGGGGTCTTCATAGGTGTGAGGATGGATGTAAGTCCTGCTGCCTGGAAGCTTGACTAGATGAGCGGAAAAGTGGAGAAATTGGGGAGAGACGTTCATCAGACATTTAAGCTGTGTATATACGTGTTGAAATGGGAGCTGAGCGTGGGTGCTCTGTTTGAGTGACATTAGTAATTATTACATAATTAAACACACAACTACTTTGTTAGCAATGGTGTTAAAATGACTCATTTTAACAGGAACCCATAAGGAGCTCCACTGTGCCAGCAAACATTTGTGCAAGAACAAATCAAAACAAAGCGATTTATTCAGCTGAGAATGCTGAATGTGATACATTTGAGGGTTTGCAGACTAAGTATGACTCTTGTATGTGAAGAAACAAACTTTTCAGGGTGTTATCACTAAACTAATCAAATATCTGTTTATAATCATAAGTTAGGTGATGTGATTCATTGCAGGTGGGTGTGAAGTTTGGTTTAAAGACAAGTTATGTGTGTGTGAACGTACAACATAATAGCATAAGCTCACATTTAAAAATATATCAAGCTTTATTTCATGTATTTGTATGCATCATGTTATAATGTTACTGAATATAGTTATGAATTTCAGTACATCATATGTCAACAAACAAACAGCAACCATACAGACATTTGTATGTGTGTATGTGTGTGCATTTGTATCTTTACCTCGGCCATGTTGGAACTGCATCTTCTCTTCGTCAGGGTCCTGCTTGGCTTTGATATATCCACAGTGCCTGAAAAAGAAATTCATGCTGGGTTATAAACCTGTATATACACATATAGATAGACTAGACTAGATTAGACTGTTTTTCCACCACACAGATACCAATATAGCTTTATAGCACTTCTGTGGAAGATAACATACTCTTGAGTGTGTGCTCACACGTGTTTGATATATTAAATCTATGATATTTCCAGGAAAATCTGGCACTACAGCGTGCACAGCCAATAGCTGTGTGTATGAACAACCAGATATTTCCTTTTGTCTCTACACACCCACTCCACGGTATAAGACAAGCCTGGAGGGGAAAAAATATTCCTATTCCTCTTTTTCTCTGCTTCTACCTGTCAATTCAACACTTCCCTCAAAGGTCTTATGCCCGAGGTTGAGTAAATGAGTGAGTCTGTATGTGTATGTGTGTGTGTGTGTGTGTGTGTGTGTGTAGGAGTGAATGTGTGTGTCCCTATAGAGGCAGATATATGCATAAAGCTCTCCTCTCTTTATGGAACCCTCTGGCCGTTAACCACTGCCTTCAGTATTATCAAGGGTCACACACACTTCAACACACATATGCCCTTTTCCCACCCCCCTGTGCACACACCCTGCGGCGTGGGTCAGTCCAACGATCAAGACACAAGTATTGACAAATTGATCAACTCAGTCCTGCCAGCCAGCTGTGAGGAAGTATTAAACTAACTCTGTCTTACAGACCTCACAAGGGGATGCTCCTAGTGTGTGTGTTTGTGTGTGTGTGTGTGTGAGAGAGTTTTTGTGGGATGTTTTTGTCATATGTTTGTGTCAGCGCATTTTCTCTCCGCTTTGTTGCGCTTCAGCCTCAAACAGTGTTTAACAGCCCTAATCACCCATAACACTGTCTCCGAGATTTACTGCTCTTCTAAATTCAGCACAAACATTTTAGGGCAAAAAACATAAAACGTAGAAGCGGTTTCATATAACGAGGAACTAAGCATGACATAAATACTACATGGCCTCCTCTTCTCTCACTACTTCCCTCTCATCCCGTCCTCCTTGAGGGGTTGTACAGGTAAAGCAGCAACCAGTCAGTATGTCTGTCCATCATGAAGATGAATTGATTTGGGCTTAGCGCCAAGAGTGACTGGGAATCAGCAGCACAGACTGTACGTGATTTAAGGAAGCAGAGTGGTGGAGGACAGAGGAGAAGGGGAAATGGAAAAATAGCAAACAAAGATTTAATAAAGAGAAGGGAGAGGGGACGTCCGATAAAGACAAAACAGACAAAAATAATAAAAGAGAGAAATAGTGAGTAGAAAAGAATCATGACTAATAATGAGAGAAAGGTGGGGTCTTGTTAGGCTCAGTAAACCTCTTTGTTTAATCCCTGTGTTGATTTTACACAGCTGAACGCATGGTATAACTCCATCAATAGGCCATCTTGGGAATATACACAGACACACACATACACACATTAGAGTAGAGACTGGTTGCTGGTATTTGGGGATAAAGAGAAGGTGGCATAATGTTCTTATGAAAGGGGAATTGGGCCCCACCTGGTTATCAGCTGGGCTCAAGCCAGTCAAACACCAAAGAACTACCATTACCCCCTTGACACACACACACACACACACACACACACAGCGCTTTGGGGCATGTGTTTAAAACATATGGGGAATGGGGACATGGGTCACACCTCTGCTCCAACTGTGATAATCCCATGGGGATACACACACACACACACACACACACACACGTTCAGCAAAACACCAAAACCCACGTTCAACACACTTCCCCATTACTGCTCGATGTGTATCTGTGTTAGTGTGTGCGTCTCCAAGGGTGCATGGCTGCATATGTGAGTGTGTGTGTGTGTGTGTCTGATGGGAAATGAACACATTTCCATAGTAATTACAGAGCAACTCATTTCTCCTCTTCAGTTAGAAGTGTCATGAATCATTAGCGCTGCAGTCTTAAACATGGCACAAAATCTGACATGGCTGTGGCTTTTGTTTCCCCCCGACAGCTGTGTCTGTGTGTGTGTGTGTGTGTGTGTGGGTGTGTGTGTTTGAAATAAATATTTTATTTAATACCTTCAACTAAATGCAACTGACCTGTAATTCATCTATTAAGGGCTCTGGAACTGGACTCCAGGGGACAATGTGGAAGCCATTTTCTCAATGCCACGTGTATCTTTTTTTATACTTAAATATTTTATTGAGTTTTCAGGTTGGAAAGTCGAAACACGTGGCAGTAGTACAAAAGCAACCTCACAGAACTAATAGATGTCGTAAGCTTATCACACATTTATATGCATTATTCTCATTTGCAATTTTTAAACAATTAGGCTGCTTGATCAGCATTTTGTTTCATGTAGATGGTCCACTTTTCCCACTTTCTGCCAAAAGATATTTTATTTGACTCTAAAAAGGTAGAACCATTGTTCTTTCCTTTGAGGTTTACACCAACGTATTATTTTAGCCTTTTTCTGGCTAAAGCAATTTTTAATCACATATTTGCCACTTCTTTGTATAATCTCTTCGGTGTTTCCAAGATGCATTGCTTACTCAAAAATGTATATATTGTTTTATATATCCATATATATAAGATTCACTACAATATCCACTATATAGCTAAAGCATGATTAACATTTCAATGGTTATGCTTGGGCACTCAAAACTCTTTGTTTAGGTTAGAAAAGGGTTGGAGTTAAATAAATATTCAAAAAGTCAACTCTGACTTGCTGCTGACATTGACATGATCTTTTCTTTAACCTGAACCAAATGTTTTAGGTCGTGCCTACTGCTTGTGTGTGTTTGTGTGTGTGTGTGTGTGTGTGTGTGTGTGTGGTTTGGCATCCCGGTTTGGGAGCCAATAAAGCAGAGATGGAAACGGACATCAGGAAATGGGATACACCTGAGTAGCTTTGAGCCTCGGTTCAGTTCTGTGGCATTACAACTAACATCACTCCCTTTTTTTCAATCCAGGTCTCCACATGCTACGGTACATCACACAGTCTCATCCACACTGATGTTCCAGAAGTACATATTTAAATTCACAATGAGTCCTGTTCATGGTAACATACTATATAGTAGTTAGTTTGCCTTAACCTAACAACCTGTGGGTCGCTGTGCTTTGTAACCGTGCAGCAATGTTATACTTTCTGGATTGGGAAAAAAATCTTTTCAGTGCTTATAATCCTCATGTTCCCTCCAAATCATATTTGGCAAATTAGTAGCATATACATAAGCTTATTTGTATGAGATATGGTTGTGGAATTGGTGTAATGTTTTTATGATTGTATTTATTCATTATTTACCCAAAATGGCTTTACTATTGTGCAACTGCAGAAAACATGGTTATAGTCACCATGTAGGCTTGTTTTGTGGCTAGTAGTCTGGTATTGATTTGGATGCCACACTATGAGCATCCATAGACTCTTGAGCTGGAACAGACTTCATAATGAGATACAGTAGTCCGCCTGCATTGCCACTAGCTGCTTTTTAATGCTGCTGTACTGCAGTGTGAAGTTAGCACTATTTGTCACTGTGGGAGAAATCATTGTTCCATTTAGCTGCCATCCAATTGCACTATACTCCATTTCATACGATGAATAAACACACACAGACACACAGCTGTGTATTCACGCAGATTTTAAGTACACGCACCTTCACCAATCACGCAAAAACACACACTTTAATGAACTGCGATATCACTATCACACCCGGGCTCTCACCTTTCTCTCTGCCTCTCTCTGTTCCACTTCAGTGAGGACAACAGGCTATCCCTGTCCTCCAAAGCCACACACTCCACATTTGCATATCAATTTACTTTTTAATATAATACTCTGTCACTCGAGACCCATTTGTCATTCTGCTAGCAAGCTCCCACCTTCATAGAACTCCATCCATATATTATGGTCGCCATGGCCCCTCCCCCGTTTTCCTCTCTCTTCCACTCACTTGCTGCCCTTTATCTCTCTGGGGTGTTATATTCTTTCTTAATTCTTCTTTTAAGTGAAAACATCCCCTTATACTCTTTTTCTTAGTCGTGTTTCCATCCATTTATCCTCCCCCAACAGGCCCTGTCCTCAGCTCGCTTTTTCTTTGTGCTGGTTTTTGCTAGAAAGAGTGGACACTAAAAGCTGGAAAGAGAAAAAAAAAGAGAGAGAGAGAGGGGTGGAAAGGGAGATGGAAAAAGAGAGTGCTGACAGGCAAGAACGCACAATGGGGGTCCAAGCCTGCATACCAACTAACAAGCAATCAGATGGAGGGGAAGAGCGAGGGGAGAAGGGGAGGCAGCCATAGGAGTAGAAACTTGAAGGTTAACATAAGGGAAGTGGGCAGAAAGATGAGGGGTGGGGCAGCGATGTTGTGCTGCAACAACAAGAGCTCAAGATAAAGAGGAAGACAAAGAAGACCTGGTAGGAGAACAAAGAGTGCTTAATAGAGATGGAGAGAGTAAGAAAGGAAGCAACAAGGAGGAGAATGTAAAATCTTTGCAATAGGGACGCTACATGTGCAGGAGAGAAAAAACAAGGGGGGATAGAGAATATTGGCTGTATGGATGGAGAATTAAGAAGGATTCTGTAACAACAAAGTACAGCACAATCAGCACATAGCTCCCCCGTGAGGGACAGTAAGAGAAAGGATATGAGGGTTGATGGACAGATTAGGAGCAGATGATGTGCATGCAGGACGTGTCTTGAGAAAGAGTAGGAAAGAAAAAGAATGGACTAAACCAAGATGCTACCAGGCCAGTCAGTGGTAAACTAAATGTAGTTTGAATGTGAGGAAAGAGTTAAAATAAAGCTTAAATAAAGTTAAAATCTTCATGTCACATTAATTTTAACCACTTCTACTTGATCAAGGAAGCTGGATAGTATCCCAGCATGCAGAAACATTTCAGGCAGGTCGCCAGTCCATCACAAGGCTAACTTATGATAGATAAACACACTCAAATTGACTCAAACTCAACAGACAGTTTGGAGTATTCAGCCTTAGACTGGGAAGAAACCACAGAACATGGAGGTTAACTCAC